CCCCAAAACCCCAAAACCCCAAAACCCCAAAACCCCAAAACCCCTTTTTTGTACTCAAAAATTGCAAACATTTTATTAAGATAAGGAAGCTAGTGGTTATACTGACCAAATGATCTCTCAGTCTTGTTCTCCTTGCTTGTGAGCATTTTACCAGCAATAGCATTGGAGCTTAGAAGCCTCCCTCGAGCTTGGGAGGTAGATTTTGGATTTTGCTCTGGATAATTTTGGTTTGCATAACCTCGGTAATTATAGTTATTTGATCGTCCTGATGCGTAATAAATATCAGCATGACCATGGTTTTGATAGCTAGAAGAAGGATAGTTCCCTGATTGGATCGTTCCACTGATATTATCATCCTTATTTACAAAATATACATTTTTAACATGAGGAGAATACCCTATACCCATACTTGTGGTCATGTCAGAGATAGGAATGCTCTTTATTTTGCTTGCAACCATTGGTTGACGGTTATATCCATTCATAAGAAGATCTATCTGGTCTCCTCCTTCCGATGCAGCGACATCGAATTCGGTAAGGGGTGTCTTTTGGATAATATCCCCTCCTATTAAGGAATAGGATGAGTAGTTATCATCGTCATCAGGAGGAAGAGAGAAAATAAAATTATCTTCATTGAAATTATCTTCAATATCATCTTCTTCCTCATAAAGTCTATTGCTTGTAAACCTGTCTATATGATTTTGATTAATAGGACTTTTAGAGCCATTAGCATATTCATAATTAGAACGTTTCGAACGACTTTGAGTATTCAGGTCATCAATTTTTGAAGACAAGCTATATCCGGGGCTTTCAATAGCTCTTGCTTTTCACACATTTAACTCTTTTAGGTTTTGATTAGTATACCCTATAATAATCAAATAAAATGATCTATACCAGTTCTCTTAAGTCCTGTCTCATCGAATTCTTTGTGTTGATTTTTGTATTGTTTTGGATCGAAATCACTATTTGGTCTACTCTTATTTGACTGTTTTGCAAACCCTCCTGCTTTATTGACCTTGCTGTAAGTGTCTTTGCTGAGTTCTGCTTTTCTCTGTCTCGCTTTCACGATTTTATTCTCTATGGCACTGACCCGTTCCTTCTCTTGTGTATGCTTCTCTCTTAGCTTCCGTGCAGCATTAGTCTGAATACCTGCAGATCCAATCTTCTTGCTATTCACAGGCTTTTGGGATCTAGAGCGTCTTTCTTTTCCATGTGTAAGTCTTCTCTGATCTTCTTGATTTTTGCTGAGATCAGCTATTATTTCATCCCTTTCATTTAGTTTAGACTTGAGCTTACGTTGGTCTTCTAGAAGCTGCTGCACTATTTCAGAGAGCTCGCCTAGTTTAGTATTTCCAACGATTGGACCATTTGAGATGGGACTTCCATCAGGAGCAGCTCCCTGGATTGCCTTTATATCCATCTTCTTGCTAATCTGGCTTTGAAGTTCCTGCTTATTGTCAACTTGCTGGATCATGTTCTTTATTTTGTTAGTCTCACTCATGATTGCACTACTGAATGGATTTTGGGAATAGTTATCTGCTTTCCGAGCAAGTTCTTCTTTCATCTTTTTCTCCTTATAACTAGCAAAAGCAGCAGTCGTTTCAAAATCCTTCTGGTTATCAATAGGAGTTACACTTTCTTCTTTCTCTTCTTGCAGCTGAGGCACTTTGATAGGCTCACTGTTTCTAGTAGTTATCTCGGGAAGATAACTATCAGATTTTGGTATTGTTTCACTAACTGCCTTCTTCATAGAGAGTCTTTCGATGGGGGAAGGATCATTTGTTGTATCTTTATCAAGCTGTTGGAGTTCCTGCTTGATTCTAAATTCATCTTTCATATCTTCTTCTATTTGTTTCTTCTTTATTTGTTCTTGTCTAGCCTTCTTTTCTTCGATTTGACGAAGTAGCTCTTCTCTCATATGCTGTTGTTGAAGATTTCTTTTGTGAATTAGCACAGATTTTTCATCTCTTCCACTAAAAATACTTCCTCTGGACTCAAGCTGCTGATCAATTCTGTTGTCTATCTTCTTTCTAGTAGGAATGTTCCCTCCAAAGGGATCTCCTGTGATTGTAGATGATATTATGGTAGCTGCAGCTGCCTTTGGAGCAGACCCTAACCCTCTCCTTTCTTGGGCATTCTCGATATGTGATGACGAAATACACACTTCTTCTGTATTTTGTAGAGTCGGGCTTTGGAGAAGTTTTACTTCTTGATCTAGAGTCCCAGTTTCAGGGTGGTATGGCTGGTACTTTTTATTTCTTTTCACTTCTTCTTCGTTTTTAATTTTATCCCGAATTCTTATCTGCTCTTCTAGCTCTTGGACATATCTTTTCTGCATAAGTTTCTTGTCAATATTCCCATCAACTTCGGAAATAGACCTCATCGTTACAGTTGGATCGTTATTAGTGCTACTTATAGGATAAGGGCCGATGGATGGTGCTGATATATTCTTATTTTGCAAATCAAGCATCTTGGAATTAGCTTCTAAGTCTCGAATATTACGAGGAGGATCATTAATCTCTGACTCAGGTGCTTCACTAGGCATTTTTCCCTTACTTTGAGGCTTCTCAATAAAAGATGTCTTTCTTTGGTTACTGCTAAAAGATTTTCCTTCGATAAAACTATTTGAGAAGTTGTCTCCTTCCATTTCAGGATTATTACGGCCATATTGAGTGCCATTTTGATAAGAATCAGACATCTGAGGTCCTTTATCTTTTGGATATTTCCTGGCCAACGAGCCTGCTTTAGCAACTCTCTTGCTAGTCTTTCGTTTGGTAATAATCCTCAGATTCTTATCTTCCGAATCATATTGGTTGGTATCTTTGACTCTGTTCTGACTGGTGACTTTGTGAGGTTGAGGGCCTTTATTTACGCTCTCTCATTTTTATCCCACCTACTTGTAACTTAGGAGGATGACTGCTATGACCTATTTATTAATATTTATCCACCAGCATTAATTTTTGTTCCAGAAAATGAGATAAATCAAGTTGGCTTACTTGGTCCATAGGCGTTAACTTCTCGCGAGGGATTCTGCCTAAAATTAGCATGTCCTGGATACTTAGAGGAGTGAGAATTTCTCCTTAAATCTGCCTTATTAGAACTACTTGAGGGTTTAGTTGACATGAACTGTTTAATATTGCTCTCAATTTAAATTATTTTTATCGGGGTTTTGGGGTTTTGGGGTTTTGGGGTTTTGGGGTTTTGGGG